AAAAAAAAAAAAAAAAAAAAAAAAAAAAAAAAAAAAAAAAAAAAAAAAAAAAAAAAAATAAAAGCATTAATCATGGTTTTTGTGAACGAAATCATAATCCATGGCTATTACTATCGATGTTAACAAATGTAGGAATTACAGAAATCGAAATCGATCTTATGAATATATCTTTTTGTAAAATCAATTCGACTTCATACTCCTACTTTCATTCATTCATCCTTCATTATTCAATACGATAGAAACATGGACATATTGAAAAGTACAACATATTTGGAAAACGTTTACCCACATAACGCACGTTGTAATATCGATTAATCGTTATTTGTTTCCATATGGTAAACATTTACGTATATTGTATGTGTTTGTGTCTTTATATGTAAATCTATGCTCGTGTGTTTAGGGTAAGCGCGCGTATTTTACATACACTTAAAAAATATCCATGCATACGAGACGAAGAATACGTCAGAGAAATTCATTCTACCGAGACAGGTAGATTAGGACCGAAAATGGAATGGACCGAACCAGAGGCGGATGGTGGATTTCAAAGGAATTAAACCGATTTCTATGAACAAAACAGAGTAAAAAAGAAACGAAAGCGAACAAATATTTAACGTTTATTTATTTTTAATATCGTAAAAAAGAATTGGTTTTAACATAGAAACAAATGGAATTTCGTTTATTCGATCGATGAAAATTAGGAATCGTTACTTAGAATTTAAGTAAAATACAAAAAGGACTTGTCGTAATTCTGAAATAATTAGAAGCACTAGATTCATACATATATACATGTTAATCCGCCCCTGGACCGAACGTATCCGTTGCATTTGGACGCGTTAATTTAAATTTATTATTTGACTTTTCCCATTTTTAAAATGGTAACGTTCGTCCCTTTTATCGAGGTTTCGGTCGAGCCGATCACAGACCGTTACACGTCTCTGATCTGCCTTTTAAATCTGTCACCACCAGATATCAGAATGAAATCTTCTTGAACTTTGTATGGTATACGTGATCGATCGATCAAGATTTACAACGGAGCTTTCAACCTTTAAAAAACGAATGAAAATTCAAAGACAATGCATGATCTTTTTGTGAACCGAATTCATAAATTATGCTCTGCTTAGAAGATATTCTGAAAAGTTATTATATAAATTTGCAAAATTGCAAGACGTAACGAATAATCTTCAAATTCTATCGACAATTTTCATGAGATCGATCATGCCTACAAAACTGAATATCATATATATATAATATATATACACGCATACATTCACGCACATACATATATACCAATATGTATAAATGCATGCATACGTGCGTATGTATGTTAAAGGGAATATCGGGATAATAATTTTTTTTATACGCGTACATAATTTGTCCTCGTTTTCTTCTTTTCCTTTGTTTTTAGTGCGACATTAGTAGTCAAAAGTCTCTGATAAATATCCGCTGTATATATATTATTGTGTATAATATATGTATATATATTATAACATATATACGGGAGAGAGAGGAAGAAAGAAAGATTGAAAGGGGGAAGGGGATACGAGAGTAAAAGAGATATAAAGAGGAGGAGAAAAAGAGATGGACGCAATTGAATCAAAATTTATAAGAACGAGTTAAATGTCGAGATATCGAAATTATAGAAAGGAAAATATTTTTTAAAAAATTATTGCGCATTGATTAGCCGTTTAAATAAATCGAATCTACTTGTCCCCTTCCTTTCTCAGATATTCACGCGCTAGCAACGGACGGTCATGGCATACGATGGATAAAAATGTATTTTTAAAGTTATGTGCTCCACTCACCTCAATAATACAGCAATAAAAATAACGACACAATTTTGGAATAAATATGAGAAACAACAGAATTGTTTTAGACAATTCGAATATAAATCTTAAGATACACGCGTGTGCGCGTACACACACGAAAACGAAATAGGGAAAAAGAAAACGAATGAGCACACAAAATATAGTGTTTGCGTACACGCGTGTTTATATGAATAAGAATTAAGAATTTAAATACTATTAACACGTGCAATATGTAAAAAGTAGTAAATGTAAAAATTAAGTCATCACTGTTTTTGTGTTGGAACTTAATAACTTAATGTATTTTTACTCTCCTTTCTCCTCCTGCGTTCTTCCCTTCGTATAATAATATCGTACTTGCTAGACAATGTGAAATTTAA